TTCTTTAAACTCATTATACTTTCTAATGTATATAATTTAAGTTTAAAAATATATATCAAACATACTTTAAATCTACTTAAACCAATTTAATTACATCATCAAAATTATATTATTTTATTTATACTTTTGAAAATAAATATAACAGCAAAGCGATTTAAACGAATTAAAAAAAAAAAAAATGTGTTCGTAAATGTTATAAAATAGCGTCTCAGATTAAAAAAAATCATAAATAACRAATATTTAACTGCAAATTTAAACCAAGTGTTAAATATATATATTTTTTTTTATTACGAAGATAAGTAATTGGATGTTAATAAAGACACTTAGTCGGTAAATTAAACTTATAATAATTTTATAAACTGAGTTTATTTAATACATAAGTACTTATAATACGTCATGTAGATATACTGCATTGGGAATATAGGTATAAAAATTGTATGTGTTTGTATGCATCATTTTATTTTTATATAGTTTTTTAGGGTTTATTTATGGAAATTTTCAAAGTTGTTAATTAGAATTCCTTCTCTCCCGCATTCACACTCATAATCACATAACAATAATGACGAAAAAAGGATTTATTATCCATCTTTTTTTTGCTACTGCTGATTTGAATATGAAATACATTAATAAACAAATTTATTCTTTTTCGTTAATCTTTTGCCAATTATTTGCAGGTACTTAAATACTYGGTGTTATAATATAATATATTTTGTAACGGGATACAACAATCTAAAAATTCACAACATTTATGTATAAAAGCCGTAGTTAAAGAAAAAAAAAACATCAACAACTTGTATACTGTAAACGCGTGTTTTTGTGAATTTGTATTGATTATATTCGGGGAAAACAATACGACAAGGAACATAGTATTGATCATACTCTGTTTGTTCTGTTACACTTTGAGGCTGAAAACGTCATCGCGTTAGATTGTGTAAAATAAATTAAGCTCTTTAGATATTGTTAGATAGATACTTAGACAATATGCTAAGCATATGTATATTGAGTTGAAAAATCATAAAACTTTTTGTGTTTATAACTAAGGATTAGAAATACAACACTAAGTTTTCCATAAGTTTTCCCTTCAAGTAGCTATAATAAAAACTCGAAGCATCATTATAGGAAAAATTTTAAGTGCGTTTGAAGTTTAAATTTTTACGAAAACATCGTAACGATAACGATTTATTCTGAAACGATTTTAAATATTTGTTATTATTAAAAAAGTATAAGTTGTAGATACATGAAAATTTTACCAGTTATTTAAATTGGCATTTTCTTTACATGATATAATTTTCAAAATATTTTGACTTTTTTGAGATATTTATAGACAACTGAAATTTTCAATTTTTCTAAAAAATGTTTTTTTGAAGTGTCGATAAAATTTTTTTGGCCCCGTTTAAATACTTTAAAATTTACTACAAAATTCCTCATAAGTTATTCTTATAGTGATAAAAAAATTATAAGAATACATTTTTTTTTATTAGCATTTGAAGTTAAAATATTTACAAAAATTCGTCAACACCATGAATATTATTTATTTTTTTGTGTCTGTCATCACGTTTTGGGGCAGTRAAAGTGCTTCGATTTTTGACTTCAGTACCTTATTCGATCAGAAAGTGAATCTAGTTGGTACATTGGGGGTAAAAAGTAAAAAATTCTTCTAAATAAGCGGGATAAACAAACTAAAAATTAAGGGAAAAATAGGAAATTTTACGTACAATCAGTTTTCGACAAAATCGATTTTGATTTTTGATCTAACTTTAAAACAAATGACCATTGATACGTGAAATTTTCACCGAATGTTTATATAAGTATATTCTATCCACCATGAATTTTTCAAAAATGTTTAACTTATGTTAAACTATTCATAGGTATATGCAATTTTCGATCATTATTAGTTTTTTTTAAATTAATATCGATAAAAATTTATTTTTTGGGTAGAAAATCTTGAAAATTTGATACAAGGCTCTTAACATAT